AGGAATGTACCACTACCAATTTGGTTATGTTGGCAGCAGACAGTAAAAAAAAATCTAAATTTTTCTGTCATACTAAAGTCACGCTAGAGATACGGCTTCTTAAAAATAGCACGCAATTCACTTCCTCGTTATTGGTAACCCAGTTCTCCTAGATAATTATCTGTTATTACATAACAGGTTTATGTACAGTAATTTGAAAGCATGACAAGGCACGACAGGTGAGTGACAGACGCCATTTCCATCTCATCGCACTTGCCTAAGTTGTGTAGGACAACAAACAGCAACTGCAGCTAGCTGGCACTGAGTGTGTGTATGTATGCTAGCAGACACGCAGGGGTCAAGTTACAGACAGGAGGGGGGCAGCTTTTTTGGGGGGCTATTTTTGGCTCCTCCAGGCACGTTACTGTGTGGTACTACTGGTGTTATCGCGATTACGACAGTCTTTGGCATGTCACAGGGCGGCACGCGTTTTGGGAAAACGGGTTCCTTTTCGAACGGGGCCAGAGAGACAAACAAGCCCGGCTGTGTGTGCAGGGCAGCTAGGCAGAGGGGGAAGGGCGAAGAGCGGAACAAAGATCAAAACATGACGAGGAAGGAAGTTTGACGTGCGAGCTGGCAAACGCACAAGTAGACTAGATGTCGACTTCGAAACTTCCCGTTTTTTGCAACAAGATAGGGCGTTTGTGAGACATAATGGACACGGAAAACTGTTAGGAAAATAGTTGTACATCCTAATTTGTTTACAGAGGTGTTGCACACGTCTCGGGTGGCGAGTTTACACGACTGCAGGCATGAATGGATCGCGGCTATGAGTATGAGTTGGCCATGGACAGAAACGGGGACTGCGGAAATGAGTTGATAAATCTCAATCATGAGCATCGCACACGTAGGGCCGATTGATTCTGTGTAGAATGGACTAATGGACTGTTATCTGAGTGCATCTCCTAATGGCTAAGTGTATGTACACACGCTTTTCGTAAACGAATAAACGCTATCTGTTGCGCTGATTCCCTCTAAGTCTAACGATCGAAAAGACGGAAATGCGTAGCTCAGAGTGCAAAGAGCAAAGGAGAAATTTCCCACTTTGCACAGTCGCTACGGCGACCAAACTTTCCCCAGCCCAAGCGAATCATGTAGACTAGGTATCCCCGTAGCGCATTCTCACCAATCTGTGTCCGAATGGTCCTCGCAGACGTCTTTCCAGGCCGCTAACATCGCCTTCTCGTTCTTCCGCAGGTTGACCGCCATCTTGGCCGAGTGTGTACTTGGGGTGGGACGTGGTGACGTCACCAGAACATGTGCACATGTGCGGGTCGTCTGCTAGCAGCCGAATTTTTGCAAGTTTTGAGCAATTCGGTTGTTTCTTGTCTCCTTCTGCCAATATGTGTGTGAAAATTCTTATCCTCCCTGAGAGTATTCAAAGCAACCCTACAATTGTTACAAGTGGAGGTCCAAACTTAAAACCATGCATATATGGCGCGCTTATGAAATAACTTTAACACGTTTGCGTTAACATGTCATGATAAAAGTTCAACAAAGTTGCAAGGCCAGCGCCTCATCACTTGACGTTTTGTGTTTACCATTTTCTGATAGAGTTTTTGGCGTATAGATTATAATTCGAAATACCAAGTGGTGAAAGGAAAATTTGCCCCAATTGTACTCGTCAGACATTAACCTTTTGTATCGTTGATCTTATCTGATCTGTTGAAAACTTACATGTATGTCTAGTCTGGAGTTCATCCCACAGGGGCACATTGTAAAACGCGTATAGGCCAACGTTACATGTTTGCCTTGAAGAAATGAATAAACAAAGGAACGAACGAACTAATGAAGTGGGATGGTGTAACCTCACGCACCCGCCAGTTTGCAAATACCAGATCATTCTCTGGTTACCAATGGTCCATTCTCCACAAGCCGGCTCGGGGGTGTTTTGCCGGCCCCAATCCTACCAAGCGTAAGTCTCCTGATATGCAGGATCTTTCTAGTTGACTTTCTAACTTGCCTTCGTAGGCGAAGTAATTAGAACCGGCGTGCGTTGATGGACTATGCGGGTGGATAGTACTTTCAGCACCGTGGAGATACCGGCTGTGCAGGCCTCCGGGCGGGTGAGAGTTTCGATACTGCATTTTGTAGAATTTTTAACGCGTTCCTTTGCCGACCATCTTACAAGCAGCCTCCCAGAGAAGGTTTGTACCCGCCGTGGTATCAAAACTCCCATCCGCCCGGAGGCCTGCACAGGAGGCTATCCGACGGGCCTACGATAGTCAGGCTTCCAGGCTAGACCATCACCAGAGCGCACGGCCATCACACACAAATCATGCAGCGTTGGTTAACAAGTAACGGAACGTTACCATTATATATATTTCATGGGGCTTGCTGAGGTAGCTACTTACTTAAGTACGTTAATTGCACGAAAATCGATAGTGGGAAGTATGTAACAGACTCCTACTAGGCTGCATTACCGGTGAAGGACTGACTGCCGTACTTTGGATCATACAATGCTGAGTTGCGTGGATGGGTGGTGGACCACTGGTTCGTTACTAGTTAGTTTGCGTTGCTACTGGCAAGTGCCTCTGCCTACGGATGTATGGCTAGTATACTAGTATTTGCAATGATATTCTTAGTCGTTAAGGGGAGCTTTTAGACCTACCACAAACTCAGCTGTACAGATAGGCTATGTTGATTTGAGTTTTGGGGTGTCCAGAGTTGGAGGCTGTCATTCTTATATGTATGACAGAATGGCCAAACTGGATTTACTAGCATATCAAATACCATCACGATTATTCATACCATCTGGGATTATGCAGACAAAATTGTGTCAGAAACACGAACAGTCAGGAAACTACCAAAATTTTAGGTTTGAAAGTCCTACATGTATGTTTTGGGCAGAATGCTATTTGAACATTTCCTCATTAATTATACAAATGATTATACAAACGAGTACCTTTACCTAAACTGCTGCAGAAAGTTTCAACAACCAAAAATATGCATCTGCAAGTTATCACTGCTGTTGTTGTTATTCAAAATGTTTTTGTCAGAAACATGCACTGATGCAGTGCCAGTACATAAAGCATGTGTTTTGTGTTTACAGCCAACATGAAGTCCCAAATCCTGTACTTCCCATTACGTACTTGCAGTTATTCTAGTTGGTTGAAAATATTGATCAAGTCTTCGAATTACAAAACCTCCATCACTGACACTAAGGAGCTTTAGAAATTCCTATCTTTAAAGCCTCAAGCTGGCAGAAGCCTTTGCTTGCATTGCCAACTCTTGCCAACATCAGATGTTATTTACATCAGATGTTGTAAGTTATCTTCAAAAACATGTTTAAGAAGGCCATGTTTTTTTTCTTTAATGTAATTTACTTGCAAGTGGTTCATTTCATCTAGTTGTTTTAGACATCAGGACACAGTAGTATCCAGTATGCATGTTTCATCAGGTGACGATTCAAATAACAGGTAAAAATGTGTCTCAGAAATGATTAGGACAAGAACACCAGCTTTGGGTAGAAATTAGGAAGTCTTTATTATTGACAGTTACACAGTCAAAACAGACTTTGTCTGGTTCTGTGGCCTTCTACTCTACATATATTTACAGCCAAAGATTAGGGTGAGAAGTAATCATGAAAACAACTTGTAGTGTGATATATAAGTATGTATATCTATATACACAAATGTCAACATGTAATATATGAGACAGTAAGCAGGTGATGGTTCAAAACTGTGAATGCATGGCATGACACATTGTGGGTAATATATTACCAAAATGGAAGGTCCTTGAGACATAAAACATGTTTGACTATGCTTTATACATGTCCAGATTTGTTTTGTTCATGTTTCAGACCTTCAACTGTGACATATTACCCACAATGATTGATACCATGCTTGTGCATTTGGAACATATACATGTACTAATATGGGAAGGTTTAATACAAGCAAGAATAGGAATAAGATGTATAGGGTGCTTCCTTGTATAGTCACAGCTTTATAATACAAATGTACAATATGTATATACCTAAAACATAGGATCTCAAGATCGCTTGTTACAACTGCCTTTCTTTACAAGTCACAGAAACAACAAAACATAAATGCATTATACACTGTCTTCTTACAGATGCTCCAGTGAGAGGAATTCTTTTGTCCACAAGAACAATTAGTGTGCAGTCCTGATGATCATTAAACTGTACATGAAGATCATTGGTTTATTGCTAGAGCACCTAATTAGGCCCGATTTAGACTAGAAACGCTTAAGGGGTTTTGGCCAGGGAAACGTTTCGGAACGGTTAACCGTTCCCGGTCTAAAGAGGAAAAAACGGTTTGTTATGGGTTTTCGCGGACCGTTTCCGAAAACCACCTCCATCGTGGTTTTCGACCGTTTCAGAACCCTTCAGCGGGGGGCCCGAAACGCTTTTTGCTAGGTCTAAAGTCAAAGGGTTTCTTAAAACGGTAAACCAGGTCACGTGTCATATGCTAATCACATGCTAATAAGCCCGCGCACGTCCATTTTCTGGTAGATTCGCGCCATATTCGATTGTGTCCATTTTCGTCATTTTATATCATGTATTTCTCGAATTTTCGTCATCCTTTATGTCTGGGGGGATGGCAGAAGGCCAGGGGAGGGTCTAGACCCAAGAAGAGATCCGCTGCTTGATCAGCTTGTGGGCCGATCAAACTATACAATCCCGCTTGGAGACCTCGCGTAATAGGGAGGGCATACAGATGCTTGTGGACGGGCTGGCGGCTGAGGAGTATTTACGCACCCCAAAGCAGGTTCGGGCGAAGTTCAAGGCCCTGAAACACAAGTATCATAAGGCCAATGAGGCAAACCGTAGAAGCGGCTTGGGGAGGTCATCATAGGTCACTGTGGGTCAGAAACATCCTGCGCCACGGGTGGCCCGAAACGCTTCCGCCTCTGTGTCTAAAGACGAACCGTTTTCTGTGGCGAAACGTTTCGTACCGTTTCGAAACGGTATACCGTTTCTAGTCTAAATCGGGCCTAAGACACAGACTATCTATGAGCCATAATTACTGCTACCAATTTCCTAACTATGCTAACCATGTAGTATGTACAAAAAATTTATGGTTACATGTATAACCAATGGCTGGTCATGTTCATGAGTGTTCTTTATCAAAGGTAGCTACTTTGTCATGCACAGCCATGTGAACTTATGGATTCCTTCAACATGTTTAAAGCCAGACGATTTCTGTTTTGCATGCTTTAATCATAAAACTCCAATTAAGACACTTTAGGACGTATGGTTTTGACTGATGTGAACAATGAGAATTTCTGGTCACAAATTGAGAAGGATGGCTCCTTGAATATTAACAACAATTCAATGGTGTCAATATTTGATGCAACAAATAAATGCATGGCTTTGGCAAAGTAGAAAACCTATCCTTACTGCTTTTTAAACCACTAAGCCCGAGATGTGTGCTAAGCAAAACTGTTTATCAATATTGTTGATCTTACACAACTGTACAGACTGTAGAGATATCTGATCTCTATTATCGTACTAAACCAGGCTTTCTACTTTGCCAAAGAGAGTACTGGCCAAGATTTTGTTGTTTTACAAAGATCTGATTTTCACCCTTCCAGTATCTACTTCCTGGTTGCCAGCATGTCAACCTCATACTCCTTTGGGTTTTTGTTTGTGGTTATCTTAAGTTCCTTGCGAAGGGTCTTGATGAAGTCTGAAGGCTGCAGGACTAATGTCAGCTGCAGGCCGCCCTCCCAGATACGCCTCTGAACCTCCTGTAGATGGAACACAAAGTTTAGTTAGTACTTCTGACAGCTGCAACACCTGCATCAGAATTCCCCAGCTGTAGCAATCTGTTGCCGTTCCACTGCCAATTTGTCTCAAGCCATCGCATTTGTACCCCCAATATGTAGCACCCATATAAGCAACTGTGTAACCATGCTAACTTTAACAGTCAATCTTTTAATGCTTAAAGGACTACATGTTACAAGCAGCTGTAAATCATGTAAATTACAGGCTGTTTCAGGCTGCGATATTGTTATAATAAATAATGTTCAAACTTTGTAGGGGTATTGGACGCCATATAATACCTGTTACGGGGCCGGTAAACACCGAAAATGGGGCGATTTTAGAGCGTTCAAACGAGTATATAACAAAGTAAAAATGCTTGAAATTTGGTATCAGTAGTTGAAGGAACTCTTTATCTCTTATTTTGTCCAAGTTTTATTAAGATACCTTCAATGGTAAGCGCGAAATCGCCGATCGGGTCGCGCGAGTTTTCCCGGCGGCGCCATGTGCGCGCCCTCCCCGTGCCGAAAATTTCAAGAAGGCGCTGATCGCCGGAGCCCGCCCGCGCGTACCGTGTGCAAAATCCAGAAAAAACTAGCCACTAATTTGTAGCCAAGAATACGAGCTTTCGAAAAATGCCTTCTTTTTTTCTGTACGACGTCAGGATCGAAAGTTGTCCGCATGTGAAACTTTCAAAGTGCGATATCTCCACAACTTGCCCCCGGGGCAATTTTAAAAGGAAACCATCATATGAAAATTCAGAACATTAGCTTTAATTTGATGCAAGATTCGCATATGTGCGATCCTGCTGTACGCGCGGAATATGGGGTTACTTTCCGGACGATTTTGGCTTCAACCGGGTAAACAACAATGGCGGCCGTGGGCAGCTCCGTGCTGCAGCGCTGCCATTCCGCCGCAAATTTGACGCCATCCGACGTCGTAGAGTTCATCACGACCGGCCAAAAACCAGGTAAGGTATTTATTCAAGTATTTTGGGAGTTTTAACGTGTTTTTGTGTGCCCTTTTGTCCGTTTTTGCTTCGATATCTCACATATGAACACGAAGCACATGTCAGTGTATTGTTAGCTGTGAATCGCCGGCAAAAATGAGCCTTCCAGCCGGATAAATCGTGACTTTTCCGCTATTCGAAGCATTATTATTTTCTTGAAGATACATTCGTTCGTTATCTTGTTCCTATATGTATATTTTTGTTGTTGTATACGTGTTTTGGGGCTCGTTTGCGTCGCGTCTGTTGTGTCGTCGTATGGGGTGGGAGGGGGGCGTGACGTTTGTGTATAGACCCATTCGACTTTCACAGATCGCATAAACTGCCTACGTCACAGGGGGGACATTTCGAATAGAAACTACGTCACAGGGGGGACATTTCGAAAGTTCCTTTCACGGATCGCATAAACTGCATACGTCACAGAACAAAATAACCTTAAATTGTTGCACGGATTGCCACCATACAAAGTTGGTGCCTGTTTTCCTGTCATTTCCGCATATATTACCTAGAAAATAGACACTTACCTACCTTTTAGTAAAAAAATGATATGCCAGGGGGGACATCGCGAGCGCAAGCCGCGTTCGACTTCAGCGTTCTAGAACGACGTTCTTTCGAAATGTCCCCCCTGTGACGTAAGCAGTTTATGCGATCCGTGAAAGTCCAATGGGTCTATTGGGTCCTTACCTTACGTCCTTAGGTCAGGATGAGATCATTTATTTCATAACATTTCTTTTTAACGGGAAATATCTGTTTTTCTTTTTATTGCCACGCTATTACAACATTTCTTTATGCTCATATTTTTTTATTCTTTGTGAAAACCTAAAATTTACTTAGTTACATTAAATTTTTTTTTAAATTTTTTAATTTTTTTTTAAATG